CATGCCAGCAACCTATTTTGTCGTGTAACTAAACAAAAAACAGTAAAAAGCTGAATTACCATTTCAGCAAATGCTAAATTCTATATGGGCCAGTACATGTTGCAAGATTGTCATTAAACAAATTTTATCCCCTTAAATGAGAAAACACCCCAGCATAACAACATGTTTTCACTGAGCAACTGAGATGTTCTGAGACTTAACAATAATTTATGAAGACATCTAAGATATAATAAAAGCACCTGAAATAATAAGTATTTCGGCAAGTTAAAAGGAATAGTACTGTGGAATAGCTGATAAGAAACAGAAATGAAAATCCAGGAGAAAAACCTGCACATTCCTAAGCACACAAGTTAGAGTAAAAAACATGCAAGTGTAGCCAGATTTGCAGTTCATATGCATCATGAAGTCAAAAATAAGAAGACTACAGCATTAGAAACAGGTACATACGTGTATTCCAGTAATTTTAGTGTAGTTATGGCATGCATGTTTATCCTTGACTCGCTTGGAAGAGTCATGGCTGTCGCAGGAGGCTCTTCATTTGGGCTAGTTACATCATCTAGAGATAATATACATAATATAGTCACAGCTAGAGGCTACAATCAGAAATGATATTCCTAATAATCTAGGTTGACAGCCTTATTGTCCCTAAACATTTGCCATCATCCTTTTTAGCTGCTTATGTATTCTGGTTTGACTGCATGGTTCTGATTAACTTAAACAAAATTTTAGTAAGGGGGTTTGTAGTTAGATTTTGGGTTTTTTTTTTTTTAAACTTAGATCATTTTGACAAAATAGGTCAGGAAATGATCCTAATGTTATGCTAGCAGAGATGTGGAGAGCAGTAGCCTCTGATGGGTAGGCAGATAAACTGAAAAGAACAGGGATAAATTGAAAAGAGCACAACTGACCACAACTATACTTAAATCATTAAAATATGTTGTAATTAATGTAACACTCTTTTCTATAGGGTCCCTTTTGATTATTATCCACAGTTTTTATGAAGAATCTCGTGGGCTTAAAGGACTACTATGCAGGACTCCTGTATTATGCAGTGATGCAATATTGCCATCTTCTGGTGTAAGCAGCTAAAATCTATTTACAGAAGGAAGAGATGTCATAGAATCATAGAATCACAGCATGCTTAGGGTTGGAAGGGACCTCTAGAGATCATCTAGTCCAACCCCCTGCACATGCAGGGTCACCTAGAGCACGTGGCACAGGGCTGCGTCCAAGCGGGTTTGAAGATCTCCAGAGAAGGAGACTCCACAACCTCTCTGGGCAGCCTGTTCCAGGGCTCTGGCACCCTCACTGGGAAGGAATTTTTCCTTAAGTTCCTGTGGAACTTTTGGTGCTTCAGTTCCTGGCCATTTCCTCTAGTCCTATCAGTGGCCACCACTGAAAAGAGACCAGCACCATCCTCCTCACTGCCTCCCTTGAGGTACTTCTAGACACTGCTCAGGTCCCCTCTCAGCCTTCTCTTCTCCAGCTGAACAGGCCCAGCTCCCTCAGCCTCTCCTCACAGGGCAGATGTTCCAGGCCCCTGATCATCCTTGTGATGAGTTTTTTTTGGCCTCACCAGGGCTGAGTAGCGGGGCAGGATCACCTCCCTCGACCTGCTGGAGGCGCTCTTCTTAATGCACCCCAGGATCCCACTGGCCTTCTTGGCCACGAGGACACACTGCTGCCTCATGGTCAACTTATCATCCACCATGACACCCAGGTCTTTCTCCTCAGAGCTGCTCTCCAGAAGGTCAGTCCCCAGCCTGTACTGGTGTACAGGGATTATTCCTCCCCAGGTGCAGAACCTTGCACTTGGCCTTGTTGAATTTCATGAGGTTTTTCACTGCCCAGTTGTCCAGTCTGTCCAGGTCCCTCTGAATGGCAGCACAGCCCTCTGGGGTATCAGCTACTCCTCCCAGTTTGGTATCATCAGCAAACTTGCTGAGGGAGCACTCTGTGCCTTCATCCAGGTCATTGATGAATAAATTGAACAGGACTGGACCAAGGACTGACCCCTGGGGGACCCCACTACCCACAGGCCTCCAACTAGACTCTGCACCGCTGATCACCACTCTCTGGGCCCTGCCATCCAGCCAGTTCCTAATCCACCTCACAAATGAACATGTCACACATGTTCAATGAAAGCTGCCTACATATATTATCAAGGCCTCTTCCAAATTAAGAGGTTAAACATTTTTCAGCATAAGTGCAGCATAATCATTCCCATATTATATTTAATGATTAGCAACTTCAGTCATTCTACCTACTTTATACTTCTCAGAAGTTAACAGAGATAATTATTTCTAAAGCTGATAAACTGCTCTCAAGTCCTGCTCTCAAAAGATTAAGGCTCCTCAACATGCAAGTTACTCAAAGATTCTGACAGCCTGTTTCCTATACAAGTAGAAAATACAAAGTCTGACCACCATCACTTTGTTTAGAAAACGCACAACAAAATGAAAAACACCTACCAAAATATCTCAGTTAATTACAAGCCCAAGTATCAATATGGAGAGTGACTTGGGTGCAAAAATCAACTCGCAACTTTTTATATCTTTGTAAAATGAATTGATAATATTAAAAAGTAGTGTATTCTGTTACAAAATAAAAAGAATGATGCACAATTATCTAGGTGTTTTTCTGTGCGCACACACACAAAGCTAAGAGTCCAAAAGAGGTTTCTGAAAAAGCACAAAACAGTTGTCCAGAGGAGTGATCTTTGTGCAACACTTCTCCTGATTTTCTTCTTTAAGACTTTTAAATTATTTCTATAAGGAAGGTTTGGACAGATATTATTAAATAGTAGAAACAGCATTTTTAATAGGTCATGATTAGGTTTTAGATAATTGGTTATAATTGGCTTTCTCCTGAAAGACTTTTTATATTCTTAAGTCTGCTTAGAAGCAGACTTCCTGACTTTACTAAGACTTTAAGGCAGACTTTTTCACATATAATCATTAGGAAGCATGGGTCTGTAGTGCCTATGTTATTACATGAATGAATAATACATAACACCTCTGCAGAATCTCATCTATTTTTCCATACTGTGACCAAGGCAGAAGACAGTAGGCAAGCTTAAAAGGAACAACTTACATGGGTTTCTCACTAGGCCCAAACAAAATGGAAGCTATCTCAATCCATCATGCAAAATGTATAAAGGATTAGAGGAAAATAAACAAGGTTATCTTTTCAAACATTATGTCTCCACGTTTGTTATTTGGTATCATCTAAGAGAACAAGGAAGGGAAACTGCACTGAAATGTAAGAGCAAACTGTTGAGTGAAGAACACATTATTAATTGCAGGAAAACTAGGGGAAAAATAATTTAAAAAACAGCTACCCTGGCTAAGATCTAGCTTATATTAATCTCATAAAAGGTCCTCTTAAAAATGCAATAAAATATAGGAATATACCTTGAATTTTGCTTCTTAGATATTTCAGAAGTTCTTGGGTTCCTTTCTTAAAAAGAAAAAAAAAAGAAACAAAAAAAAGGAAAAAAAATATAAGGGCATGAAACAAGCATTTCCAAGTCCATGTTTATATACAGCTGTTTTAGAAAGGAAGAATGACAAACATCAGTTGCATAGGTGGAATTCATAGCACTGCTGACTATAAAAGCTACCCCAACACATCCTGCAGAAAAATCCTCTTTGCAGTATTTACTTATGTGCCATTTTATCTACTAATTGCAGGTGAAATTTTCAAGGCCTTGCCAGACACCAGGAACCACCTTAGGCTCCACATTATTAAGCCTTTATCTAAAATTTCATCCAGTTCCAAGAACAAGGAAAAATGATCAAATTAAATGATTTATTTTCTTTAAAAAATATCTAACACAATTGTGCTCTGGAGAAGGAAGTTCATCTTTTCAGAGAGAGTGACTGTTCATAATTTCAATAACTTTACACACAATTTTGGCCAAATTATAAGATCTGGGAAAAATACTGCTGTTTACAGCATATTTTTTTAAGCTGAATTTATTCAGAGATTTGATTTTCAGTCCTCTCACTGCAACTCATATTAGTCAAACAACACAGTTACCATCTGCATAATCTGTGAATAATCAAGCATAATCTCATCCACCCCAGTTGTTTTGGAAGCTAGACTTTCCTTATGATTTCATGTGCTTCTCCTTGCTGTAACACCATGGACTGAGCTGGCACACTGAATACGTGTTACTGTTTTGCATTCTAACTGATGTCGACACCATGGACTGAGCTGGCACACTGAAGTCCATCTTACAAACAAGACTAATTGATCTGAATTCTGAGGGGAGAAAGAAAATGTGGAAGTGAGAAAGGAACAAACTAACAAGGAATCTAGTGAGACTAGACAGCAGAAACCACAGACCAAATCCTGAGAAAGAAAGGTTGGAGGAAACTGGGATTGGCAGGCACAGGGAGGGCTGGCAAGTGTCCAGAGGACTTACAAGATTTGTCAATTACTCCATTAAATCAAGAGGAAAAAATACAGATGGTGCACACAAACTGTCCATTCTGCAGCTTTCTAGTGTTGGTAATGAGCAAGAATAAAATGTTGTAACAGAAATCCCATACCTCTGGTTTGCTATAAAATATGTAAGAAATATTTGCAATAAATTACACACATACATGCTCGTACACTTGAAAGAAAATCTTCATGAGTCAGAGAATACCATCACTTAAGTAATGAGGCAATCCTAGCTCAGTCTCCTTTGCACGTACGTATATATATTGAGGCACAGCTTTGAACCCCATGAGCACATGTAACTTCCACTCACTGAACCCCTCTCCTTAACTTAGGGCAATCAGTGCTCACTTAATTACGATCAGGTCTTCAGTTTCTTATTTTTGAAGAATTCGAGTATTTCAGAAGCATTTGTTTTACAGCACTGGCAAAAGCTCAAAAAGAAAGAAGTAATCTATACCATCAATGAAAGAGGCCTGCTGGGAGGTAGAAGGAAAATGAATTCTGTAGCAGCAGTAGCTTCAACACCCCTGTCTCCCTGATGTCCTAAGTACTTCTTTTCTCAAAGATAATCTGTATCTTCACTTTGCAAATTATATTAAGAGAGAACAGAGATAATCTGAGGTGTAGGTTATCCATAAGAAAATGTAGTACACTGTATTGTCTGTCATTCCTCAAAACACATCTACCATCAAATACTCTCTGGAAATTGAATCCTAGATCCTTAATTCACACAGGAAGGAAATGAAAAACAGAAATCCATGCTTGTCTAGGAAAAGCTCAATTTAAAGTACTTGTCTAACATCCCAATCGACTGTAACTGCAACAGGGTTATAACCCAGTTTCCCAAGGCAGCAGCCAGCTGTCTTGCCCTTTATTCTTCAGACATTCCTTGCTTCATTTGCAATATAGATTACAACATCTGTAGCAAATCAGGAAGAGGCTCCATAAGCAATCACCCCCTTTATTGCACACCCTCATCATTTTATACATTGCATCACACTCGGGTGGAAAGAGTCACAACACTCAGGAGACAGATTAAAGTTGCACAGGGCACCTAAAATCTAGATATTTGCTATTTTTTTAAATATTTGGCTTCACAATTGGGGTAATGCAAATTTACAACAAAGCCGAACTTTACATATTGTCCAAATGTGCTTACTTGCAGAAGGTCTCTTCGAATGGTTCTCAGAGGATTTCCCTCTAATGCCAGGAATTTCAGCTGAGGAAGATTCCCCAATGTATACGGCAATCTGCAGATGGAAACAGCACATTTCAGTACAACTTCAAAACAAATTCTAAAGAATGAACAATGTTTTTCAGTTGATCTGGTATTCTAAAGCTCACATTCATATCAAAAGATACAGAATATATTGTGTTTTAAAAAGGCACAGCTGGATCGTAGCACTTGGATAAAACAGAAAGGCCTTTTTTTTTTTTTTTATCCCCGAGTCATTTTTAATAACATTTTAGAAATTTCAATACATCGGGTGTAGAATTACTAGTGAATCAATACTTTGTTTTAAGCAAATATGGATGTCAATAGCTATGCCTCAACACAGACATACACAGTTTTTAATATTACCTACTGATATCATTGTTGGCTAGATCAAGACGTTCCAAATTCTGAAGCACAGTAATTTCATCAGGAACAGATTTTATCTTGTTATCTCTAAGTTCCAATACAGAGAGAGAATTCAGGTGCTTAAGATTCTCAGCATTTAAAATTTCAATTTGATTTTCACCAGCATGTAATTCCTACGAAAACAAAGATTACCCACAATTATTTTGGCAAAATCACTCTATAATTTATTAATCTCCTGAATGATGACACTGGCAAAAACATATGATGGAGAAAATACAGAATTTGATTCCCTCTCATCTACATATGAAAAAAACAAAGCCTCTGAAGACTTGAATCTGAGCCTAGCTTTCCTGGAGCCATCACAGAATGCATAGCTTTGAGTTCAAAGCCCAAAGCTGGAATCACTCAGCTGCTCATCTTCCTTTCCTCAGGTATGTTTCGTAAGCTCCAAGCTACAGCAAGTTGAGAGGGCAGCTCTTTGAAATGCCTCTCTTACAATGGAAGCAGGGAGTGGCTCCCTGGAGCAGGAGGAGCACACACATGCTGCTGGAATGCTAGGACACAGGACTTGACATGCACTGCAGACAGTATGACATCCAGTCACTTCTCAGCGCCTTTTTTTTTTTAACATTCTTTTTTATTCCCCAGTTCTGAAGAGTAAGCAATGCCACAAGTTTGACTTCCAAATGACATCAAACTTGACAAGTCAGAATAGCAACATAACTGCAGATAAATTATAATAAATGTAATTCTGCACACAGAATTATTAACTACTGATGACAGCAATTCAAAATATCTTGTGTTTAAAGTAACAAACATAATCATAAAAAAAATAGTGCAGATGTATTTAGACCATTTTGTTTTCTCTCTCCCTTGTAATTTCAAGTATCTCCTATTTATGCATAATTTTCCACTCAAGATAGGCACTGAAGAAAATAATCTGTTAAACTGCTCATTGCACATTCTTAAGGCTACTGATTTCTGAACAGAAAAAACAAATACTAATCCTTACATTTCTCCAGTTACTTTTGGGCACCATTTACCTATAAGTACCAACACACTATTTCAAACCTTACCTTCAGTAATTTGCATGAAGGAAATTCTGGCAAGTGACGTAATTTATTTTTCCTCAGATAAAGTTGTTCCAAAGACATCATACCTGCCAATTCAGAAGGTACAGTTTCCAGGTAGTTTTTAGTACAATCGAGTTGTCTTAACCCTATTGAAATAAATATTCCAAGTGAGAAGAGGAATAAACAAAAAATGTTTCTACAGAATCTTTTGTGAAAGCCAGACATCTGCTTAGGCTTTTCATTTGTGCTTCTTCTGGAATGCCTTCGACAACACTGCCTGGCACCAGTCCTTTGAAACACGGGAATGAACAGGAAAGGACTGTCACAGGCCTACTGTCACGGACCATTGCAGAAATTTCTGCAGATAATTCACCACTGTAAAAAGCCAGCAGTCTATCTGTTCTTGTAGATCAACCACAGCAATTAAAATGTGTTTCATTTAAGCAGTAATAATCTTGATACTCGGTATTATTCAAATCTTAAAAGCAAACTTATTTCTTCACCATTTTACATTTATTCTCTCCCCAGTAACTTCAGGTATCTAATTATGCACACTTTTGCACTTGAAAATGCAGTTTTAAGGCTACTGATTTCTAAGCAAAACAATATTAATGCTTAATTTTCTCCAATTATTTTTTCTGCCCAATTTATGCAGAAATACCAAACTCAAAAGGATTCACATTTGATACACAGTGGCTAATAGCTGTGTTTTATTATTTCTATTCATTCTGGAGCGGTATTTCTGAAAATTTATAAACTCTTTAAGAACACGTTTTCTTAATGCTGAATAATATGCAACATGTCTCTGATCACAATGACAGAATTAACCACATGACATTCTACAAACTGAGGAAAGTAATTTACTTTTCATCGCACTAATATCTGCAGGCAGCCTCCTGAGTTGATTATAAGCCACATTGAGTCGCACTAAATTAATGAGCAAAGCAAAACTTGTTGGAATGTCTGTAAGATGATTGTTGGAAAGATCCTGGAAAAAAAAAAAGACAGAAACAGAAAAAATAGGTTAGAAATAGAGATGTTTAAAATATCCCATGAGTACTGCTACTGCAAAGTTAATTAGTGGCAGAACATTAAAATTAGATTACTGGTTGACATCCCCAGGATCTTTCCTCTTAGAAATATGAATGGAAGAGGGAAATCTCCCATGACTTATAGATCACTAGGGATTTGTTTTTTCTTCAAATATCTAGCAAACTAAAACTTAGTTTCAAACAAAAAAAGGGAATATCTGATAAGCTACGTAAATCACTAGAATATTTATAAAGTTCTGCAATTTAAGCTATACTTTTTACTACTAGTAGCAAGACACTGAAAAATCAGTCTTTTTTAACAAATAAATATTTTAAAGAATTGTAATTTACTAATTCTTCTAAATTGACAAGTTGTCCAAATCCATCTGGCAGATAACTGAGCTCATTGTGATGAAGAAGAAGGCTCTTCAAATTTGTCAACTTCATCAATTCCTCTGGGATAGTTTTCAGCTTGTTGTGGCTAGTATTAAAGCACAGAATAACAAAAGGAAAATCAATTCAGCAATTTTACAAACTCAACCTGCACATAAAACATTTCTGTTACGTGTTATGCTATTCTAACTAGGACTATGATGCTAGTAACCAGCAGGGCTATTTTTGCCATGCGTGACCCCTTGAAACCCACGCTCTACACACCCTAGGGCAAGTATAGAGTACATCCAGCATCAAATACATTGGATATTTTGTGTCGGTAGAGAGCAACTAACAATTATATCAGCAGTGAAACAAGCTCCCATGAAACATTTTTCACATTGTATCATCCATATAGTCACAAAAATCAAGAATTTCAGACAAAATTCAAGAATTTCAGAGTAAGAAAATATTCCCTAGTTAAAAACAATCTGAAAATACATTTTCTGAAAGACAAATTTAAAACATTTCAATTGCAGATCCATATCTTCAAAGTCACTGCAGTATTTCCCAAGTTTTCATTTTGTAAAATGTACTTACCTGACATCAAGTTTCTGAAGATTTTCTAAATGTCCTAAAGCAGCAGGAAGAGATGTCAGCTGATTATCATGCACCTAAAAAACAAATTTTTAAAAACAGTTACTAATTCGTACCTTGTAGTGGTTTTCTGTCCCACTCAAGAAGCAAATCAAGTTAAACTGACACACAGAAGAATTTTGTACACAGGTGACAGCTGTACACTCGCCTTTGCAATTATTAATAGCAGCACTGCAATTGTCAATCTGGCAAAAGTTCAGTTAATAATAGTAAATAGTAAGTGCTGAGAGATGAGGTAAGAAATGAATGGTGGGCAGAAAAAAAGGTGCAGGCAAGGAGGCTGTTTCCTGTGATAGCTGTCCTTTCAGGATCCATGCCAAAAACTCCTGCAACTTTCTACAAAACAAAACTCACCATCAGCATAAAAACTGATTAGAGTGCTCTGTAAAAAATCCTAGTTTATGCTGAAAATGCACCAGTGCCATTTCTACACATTCGGAAGCCCAGGGAAAGGAAAGGGAAGCTTTGAGAACCACTGAGGCGGGTTTTCCCACCTTCCCCAGAGACAGTACAGTCCTCCAGTAACAAGCTCATTGCACTTACATCCAGTACAGTGAGAGCAGGCAGAAGTTTGACATCCTCTGAAAGGCACTGAAGCTTGTTTGAGGCCAAAATCAGCTTAGTCAGATCTACTTGCTCCCACCAGCGATCCGCAGCACCAAAAGAGAGATTTTGATGAGCCTCCTCCGGGGTATCCAAATTTATCCGCCATACGTGTTGAGGCACTAGGTGCACAAGCATACACAAGTCAATTAGATATTCCTCATATTTACTGCTGATGTGCCCCTTTCTTACTGCTTTTAACACATATGCATATATAGTCAACTATTCTTCCTAGAGACAATTTTCTCACATCTATCAATTACAAACTGATAGAAAATTTGCCACTAGCAGTGAAGCATAAGTGGAGATTAAGCAGATGGCAAAAAACATTCATCACTATTGTGCTTGGTGTATATATATTTGTGTATATATATGAAAGTTTGTTATTTATTTTTGTCCTAACCGGCTCAGAACCACTGCATACCCAACACAGCCGGCCTGCTGCACTGGTCAAGCACCACCACGCGCAGCGTCTCCTCCGTTAAGCAATGGGATTTTTAGGGTAACTGTCGCGTAGCTCCCGCTACAGCCCAGTGAAGCGACGGGCGGGTTCATGTGGCTCCCGCGCCAGCCCGACATCTCTCTCCCTCGGCACCTCACCCGGCTCGGAGGCTGCCGGGGAAGGCCGCGCCGCACCGGGAGGTCCGGCGGCCCCAC